AATGAATGTTTACTGACATTACTATGTTTATTTGAATGTAAATACGTACATGTTTATTCTCATATTGAAAATATCCACATAGACTATAATAATACATGTTTAACTTCATATTAAATTATATGCTCATGAGCATCATTTGCATATTATATTACATACATTTTAGCTCTAATATTAATAGATGTTTATTCGAATTTGATGCGTAAATGTTTATTTGGATTTTTGTGTATTCACACATATATTAATGTATGTTCATTCACATGTAAAAAAATGTTCAAAAATAAATCACATATTGTTCATTCATCATAAACCTTTGATGATTCTATTTTAAATAATGTTCACAAATAAATCACATATTGTCACTTACATTATAGAGTTATATAATTTTTAATTGATTTTTTTTAATAAAATGTGTATAAACAGTGATGACAATGATATTCCTATTCAATCAAGAGTGAATAAAATACAATTGGTCCTCAACTCTTAAAAGATATAATAACAAGTGTCCCTGTTGAAAAAGACATGTATGCAATTGCAAGGTATAATAATAATTTATAATAGATTATATGTTCATTTTGACATGATTGTTTTTTAGAAAAATCCTTTTGATATATATATATATATGTGTGTGTGTGTTTTTTTTTTTTTTTTTTTTTTTTTTTTTTTTTTTTTTTATGATTGTTCATTTAAGTATACAAAAATGAATTCACTAACACTTTGATATAGATATTTTAGGTTCATGTAACATAACTGAAAGATAATGTTCATTTATATATTAGTTTCTTGAACATGTATATTTGAATTTTGGTTAGAATATATATGTTCATGTTACTTGTGATAATTTGTTCATTTATATAAAACAAAATGTATATTTTTGTTTTGCCAATTGAACATTCATTAAATTTGTAATATCAATATAATGTTTATGCATATATATTAAACACAATATATATTGTAGTGATGTTCTATATAGAGAAAAACACACGTTGCAATAATTTAGAGATGAAAACTCTGAGTCTATATTTATAAAGGAGATAATGGCATCAGTTATATTGAAAGATAAAAATGAACAACATAGTAATTATTGGTGGAAATCATATTTTGATAGAAACATGTTGAACCACAAGTTAATTTGACATATAACATAATGTTCATTTCAGTAACAATGAATATACACATTGACATTGTAATTTGTTTGAATTACAGATAAACCAAATCAAGAAGTTGATAATACAGTACATTGCTCAATATTATATATATATATATATATATATATAATATTGAGCAATGTACTGATGTCATTATCTCCTTAGCAAAAGTCATATGTTCATTATCAGAATAAAATATGTTCAATAACGTAACAAGTATAACGAAATACAATAAAATGTTCATAACCAAAAAGGCAAATGTTCAATGTGAAAACAAAATATGTTCAGTTACATATCACTTATCAGAAAAAATTAAGTTCGAACAAATATATATTGTTTCAATTCAAATTCTTACTTATTATTATTTGCCAACCTATTTGCTACATTAGTGAAAAAAAAGGTAACAACCTATCATACTTAGAAGAAATATGTTGACTAGCTACCTCGTTGAACATCTCTTGGAACACTTGGAGGAACTTGAAAATTTCTTGGAACACTTGGACGAAATTGAACCTTTTATCTTGGCACACTTAAAGAAACTTGGACATTACTTGGAGCACTTGAAGGAACTTGGTCTTTTCTTGGAGCACGTACTTGGACAATACTAATCACTTTCTTAAAACCATATTCATTGTACCTTTCATAAGCTTCTACTTCTTTACCAATTAAGTAACTCAAATTTACTTGCTTTTTCAACAATAATTTCATCCTTTTTTCCCACTGTATTTTAAAAACAAATGAACACAAACATTGGCATACATGTTCAATATTTAATCATATGATGATTATGTTTCTTGTAATGCTTTGTACATGTCCATAAACCTGAACGATCAATCTTATACTAAATAAAAGCCAAACAACTAGTTCTTATTTCAAGTCTGTCATAAGACCTTTTATTTTTCGCCTTATCATCCTTCCAACCTTCATTGCAACAAACAAATATTTTCATCTTCAAAGAGGAATCATTTCGAGTTTTACTCTTATCAATTCTAATACCAAAGCCATGCTTAAAAGCATATTCGTTATAACTATCATAAGCTTCTTGTTCAAAATTAAAATCTTTAAAAAATTAATCTGATTTAGTTACTTCTTCATACATAATTTCATCTACCACTAGCACCCACTGCATAAGTTTTTAAAAATGAACATAATCAATAACAGATATGCACAAATACAAAACAGTACATATATAAATGATCATTTAGCATTATGAATTTAATCAAAATAATAAAATAAAATAAAGTACTAAATATTTAAAATATAATTTAAAAACTATAATAGAGCATAGGTTTTTTTTTTTTTTTTTTTTTTTTTTTTTTTTTTTTTTTTGAAGAAAGCTGAACTAGTTCTCATTAATCAAAGGGTAGAGTATCCATAAGTACATACGGGGAGATCTCATTTGGCAATGATTTTCCCATACTTGTTCAAAACCGAACGGAACTAGCTTAGCTAAATGATGAGCGGCAAAATTGCCCTCTCTACAGACATGCAACCAATTGACAGACTCAAACCAAATGCTCATATCAAACATGTCATCAATAACCGCATCGAGGTCTGAGAAGTACACCGCTCCTTTAGTGAGGCGATCTAACAGAACATTAGTTTGAATAATAATGATCATTTATAATTATGAAATTGATCAAAATTATAAAACTACTAAAAAAAACACAAAAGCGTATATAAAAGATATAATCAATCACTAGAAAACATCTACTTAATTACAATCAGCAATCATTAAACTAAAAACAACAAACAAACTTGAATAATAAATCATATTGATCGAAATAAGAGACAAAATTAATTAAAATAAAACTTCAATTCACTTGAATTATAACAGCAAACCAAATTAAACTAAAACATAGGCTAAATTGATTTTTGAAAAATTGAAAAATCGAATAAAATCAACAAACAATTTGAAACAAAACAGCTAACAAAATTGAATCAAATAATCGACCAGCAAGCATTAATTGAAATCAAAGACAAAATTGATCAAAATTGAACTTAAATTAAATTGAATAGTAACAACAAACATTAATCGAAATTATAAAACAACTCACATTGATCAACGAATGAATCAAGCAATCGACCAGAAGTAGGAAAAATAACTCACAATCACGATCAAATTCGGCAATCGAAGAATGTAGCACTTCATTACGAAAATTAACTTCACAATCACGATCAAATTCGACAATCGAAGAATGCAGCACTTCATTATCACAATCAACAACTCCAATCAATGTTTAATCCATGAAAAAGAGGAAAAAAATGTGATTGAAAGAAAAATAATGTAGAAGAAGAGAGAGAAAATGCAAAAAAAAAAAAAAAAAAAAATAAACGAACGAAAAACAGAAAATAGGTTTTGAATCATATGTATAAATGATTTGAGATATAAGAAAAGGAAACAAAAAAAAAACCAGAAACAGAGTAAAACGACATAATATAATGGAGGGAGCAGGCAGCAGTGGCTAAAGGGGGTTTGTAGGTAAAAAATTTTAGCCTTTTGGGTCTCAAACAAAGTGTTTTTGACCCGTAACCCGATATAACCCAAACCCGTAAATTTGTGGGTCAAACCCGACTGAAACCCAAGCCAATTTTATGGGTTTTTTTTAATAAATAGATTTATTTGAAAATTAATACACCCCCCTTTATTTCTTGATAGTTCGACTCACTTTGCATTTTTGCGGTTTCCAATGAACATCTTTGAGCATTAATATCTTCGGCAATGTATAAGTGAAAATTATAAAAAGTTTATGTTTGAAAAATGTATAATAAGAGGAATCTAATAAAATCCCTCATGCTAATTTAAATCTATTTTATAAATCATAGCCTGTAGTCAAAGTTATTTTATTTTGACCACATGAATGACAAGTGAGTCGAACTTTCAGGAACGAAGGTAGTATTAGTTTATGGATTAACTTTGATTGTTTTTCTACCATCGGACATTCATTTTATCTCTTTCTCATTTATCTATCTCATATAACTCTTGTTCAAATCTAAACCAATCACCTCCTACACCAATTATCGACCCACACTAATCGCATCCGTATAACCCACATTACCGTCATACCATGCACTGATCGACATGTTTACTAATATTATGTCAAGAGTATTATACTCCACACCATATAATTATGTTGGTCTATTCCTTAAATTTTAGGATGTAATAAAAAGTTTTATTTTTTGAATTTATTATCATTTTTTATTAGCTAGGAATTGATGTAGTATGTAATTGCTAAAAATAATATGTTGAAAACTGAAAATGTTCAATTAAAAATGGGAAAAAAATAGCAAAGTAATCTTGAAAAAAAAGGCAAAATTAAATAAAAAATGTTTTAAACCCGTTAGGTTGACCCGAACACAACTTTGGGTTAGGGTTGAGCATTTCCCAACCCATGACCCAAAGTGGCCCGACCCGAAATAACCCATGACCAGAAACAACCCGATCCGCCCGACCCTATTGACAGGTCTAATTCATTTCCCAATTTGGATTTAGCCTAAATTTTGTTTCCAATCAAATAAAAATTTAAAACTTGATGCAATTACAACTTGCAGGTAAAAATGTAAAATTGCTGTCACTTATTACTATCAACTATGTTATTTGGAATCTTCATTTTATCTCAAGTACTTTGTGTTAGATCCTTGACAATCTAAGGGTATAGACATCGTTTGGACTAAAATCATGGATTTGAACACGTACTTATCTACAACACTAGTACCGAGTCCATGCTATCACTAGTTCACTACCATAATAAACATGGAAAAGTCGAAGCAATATAGCTACCTGGCCTTTGAATCCCTATCATGTTATCACTACCAAATAACACGTACTTATCAATGACGCGTTGAAATGTCACATTATTGAATCAATTATTGCATAAGCATTGATGTTATTGAACACCATCTTTGCATCTTCTATCACACTTGTTCATTTTCTCTCTAAAAAAATCCCTGCAACCAAAAATGGATGTTGGAACAATCATGGCTGTTGCTCAAACTTTGGTTACAGCGCTGCAGTATACTCATCAGCTCAATGACATCTGCTCCATCATTGGCTACAAATCCAAACTTCAGAGGCTTAGTGGTACCGTCGCTAAAATCGAGTCTGTGCTCGAAGATGCTGAGGCCAAGCAAGGGTTGCCTAAGCAAGAACAACTATATATTCAAGATCTCAAAGATGCAGTTTACGACGCCGATGATCTCTTTGATGAGTTTGTCACACTTGCTGAGCAGAATAAGCGCACTAAGGGCAACAACAAGTTTCGTGTCCTTTCTCTTTTTACCAAGCTTGGTACTGCTTACAATATGACTCAAGGGGTTAAAAAGATTGAAGAAAAGTTGAATGCTATTGTTTTTAATAATCAATTCAACTTGAAAATTGATCCTAATCCTATTAAGAATCGAAGGCTCGAGACAAGTTCTTATGTGGATGAAGCTGATATCATTGGCCGAGAGCTTGATTTGGAGAAAATTGTTAATGTATTGCTCAATACTAATGTCCAAGTAAACATTTCTTTCCTTTCTATTGTGGGGATTGCTGGGTTGGGAAAAACTGCTCTTGCCCAACTCGTGTATAATGATGCAAGGGTCATAGCCACGTTTTCTCCGAGATTGTGGACTTGTGTCGCGGATGAAAATCAGGAGTTGCTAGACGTACAAGGGGTTCTTAGTAAAATTCTAGCTTCAGCTACAGATCATAAGAACCATAAGAAATACGAGGGTTGTACCATGGATGGGTTGCAAAGCCAACTTCAAGCAAAACTTGCTGGAAAAAAATTCTTGCTTGTTTTGGATGATGTATGGACTGAAAATTATGAGCGATGGCATACATTGACACAATCTTTTATGGAAGCTGGTGAGAAAGGAAGCTGTATTGTGGTAACTACATGTTCACGGGAGACCGCAAGAATTATTGGAGGCAGTCTAACACATGAGCTGCTAGGCCTGTCAAAGGAAGATTCATGGTGTTTGTTCAAAAAGGCAGCATTTAGCCCAAATCATTCAAACCTTCCTAGAGACTTGGTCAAAATTGGCCAAGATATTGTTGAGGAATGTGCTAATGTTCCCCTTGCAATTAGAGTGTTGGGAAGTCTTCTGTTTGGCCAAGAACAAAATAAGTGGCATTCAATTCAGAAGCTGGGATTAGCAAAAGTTAATGGAAAAGAAAACAGCATCATGCCTACATTGAAGTTGAGTTACTATCAACTTGAACCCCCATTGAAGAGTTGTTTCAGCTATTGTGCAATGTTCCCTAAAGATTTCGAGATGGAGAAGGATACATTGATTAGGCTTTGGATGGCACAAGGCTACATCCCGTTAAATGATTCTCAAAGCCCGGAAGATCTTGCGGAGGAGTATTTCTCGATTTTATTGCGAAGGTGTTTCTTCCAAGACATTAAGAAAGATGAAAATTGTAATGTTATGTCATGTAAAATACATGATTTGATGCATGATGTTGCTCATGAAGTTGTGGGAAAGGAAATCTGTAGAGTCGAAACCATGAATGGGGATGTGGACAAAAAAGTTCGCCATCTCTCTCTTATACAAAGCAAATCCACAAATTATGTTTCTAGTAAGAGCCATGTGCGTTCTTATCTTCAATTCGGAGAGTCGTGTAGAGATGTCAAGAAAATGGATCAGCTTTGTTTGGAATCATTACTTGCTAATTGGAAGTTTTTAAGGGCATTATGCTTGAGTAGTTCAGATATTAAGAGTTTGCCGGCCTCAATTGGTGATCTTATACATTTGAGATATTTAGACCTGTCATACAATGTTGATCTAGAAGTTCTTCATGGGTCCGTCACAAAACTATGTAATCTTCAGACTTTAATCTTAAAATGGTGTACAAAATTAAAAGAGTTGCCGAAAGATTTGAGCAAGCTGGTTAAGCTAAGGGTCTTAGATTTACAAAATTGTTATGAGCTGAATCATATGCCAAAGGGTATGGGTGATTTGACTTGCCTTCACACTCTTAATTGGTTTGTGTTGGGGAAACCGAATTCATGTAAAAACAAATTGTTTGATGTACTGGAAGATCTAAAAGCGCTAAAGAATCTAAAAGGTTATCTTGAAATCGGCATCCATTTCATGAAGACCGCTGCAACAGCTTGTAAGATAAATGGTGAAGAGGAGGGAGGGTGCTTGGGAAACAAGGAACATCTGAACCATGTGTTCTTTGATTTCAGTTATGGTGAGGAAAAGGAAAGGAAGGAGTATGATGAAGCAGTGATGGAAGTGTTGCAGCCACTTAATTCTAGTCTCAAGAGGATAACAGTGAAATCATATCATGGTGTGAGAATGCCACACTGGCCAGGGGAAGATAACTTGGCAACTTTTCTCCTTAATCTTGTTGAAATAAGATTTATTCGTTGTCGGAATCTGCAGCATTTGGGACAATTACAACTTCCTTGGTTGAAAATAGTATATGTGCATAATTGCCCAAACCTAACAGCTATTCTAGAGTGTCCAGCATTAGAGTACCTAGATTTAGTCAACTTCAATGAGAGATTAGTAATAATACCAATATCAGGGGCATCGACTTCTTCAACTGATGACCTTGGTCCCAAACTAAGGGAAATTAGAACAGACAATGTGGCGTGGCTTAATTCACTGCCCATGGACTCTTATCGGGGTGTTGCAAAGCTGAACATAGGGTGGGACAGGAAGGTGGAGAGTTTAGGTGAAGTTAGGGAGGTGTTCCACAGTTGCTCGTCTTCTCTACAATCCTTGAGTATTGGATATTGCGACAACTTAAAAAGTATTGTGTGTGGAGGATTAGAGCAACTCTGTGCCTTGGAGGATTTAGAAATTAGACGTTGCCCTGATCTGAGTCAATCAGAAGAAATAATGAGAGTGCATTCCTTTTGTCAATCCCTCTGCTCCTTGATATCGTTTGATCTCCCTCTGGTAGAATTGCCCGATTGGATACAGTACTTGAAGGCCATACAAACCCTTGAAATTTTCAATTGTAAAAGTCTGAAATGTATGCCAAGTTGGATGTCTAAACTCACCTCGCTTAGAGCACTTCAGCTCACATGGTATTCATCAAGCCTCAAAGAAAGATGCCAACGTTCAACTGGAGAGGATTGGCCCCATATTAAACACATCCCTTACTTTGTTTCACTCTAAAATATGTACATTGTGATAAGGTAATATAATTTTGTCATCTTTATTTTATAAAAATCAAAGTCTATTCTTCAGAATTGCATTGCTCCATTATTTGCATCAAATGTAGCTTAGTTGCTGAGTTCCCTTTCATATATCCGTATTTGAATTTAATTTTAGTGTTACTTGGATCTGATTTTTGATTTTATGGTTATCTGAAATATAGTGTAGACTGCTTGCTTTTTCCATCACGATCTACTTGCTGACTGCTGCTGGTTGTATCTCAAGATGCTCTTAGTTTTCATTATCCATGTAGAAAGATGTACGGATCAAATATACTCTCAAAAACATCTTGTATTATTAAAGAAGCAAATTAATTCAGCCTCTTATAACTTACTCTTGATTATGCTACCATGCTTCCAACTTGTCTCTGGGGTTTTGAGAGTAGAACTTGTCTCTGCGTTTTGGGAGTAGAACTTGTCTCGGCGTTTTGAGAGTAGTAGTTTCAGTTCTGAGAGTATAATTTAATTTGTTTTACTTCTTGCTAATGCAGTCTGCAATGGAGGGAGATGGATCGATCTAGGGAGTTTTGTACTTCTGCCAAATTTAAGGAAGTGTTCCCTAGGCACTCATTACCAAATGTCCCAGACTAGAGCATTTTTGAAGTATAGAGCATCATCTGTCTAGGAATCTTGGGCTAATATATGACTCAATCAAGGAGCCTAACTCGCGTTTTTGGCCTATATGTTTCTTCAAGACTGACTGAGTTGCTGCTAACTCCTACCAGAAAATAGTAATGTTTTATATTTGCATGACATTACTTTTCAAATTTTCTTGCATTTTTTTGTCCCTTTTCCAAGTAGTATAAGCTGAGGTTGCTGCTGTTACCATGCTTTCAACTTGTCTTCGGGGTTTTGACAGTAGAAGTTTTAGTACTTTAACATTGGCAACATGACTATTATATCTTGGGGTTTTGAGAGTATAACTTGTCTCTGTATTATTCCAGATAAATTTGGTGTTAGAAGGAGCTTCACGGAGAGCCATGTCTCGCCTCGTTGCAGCATTGAAGTGAGAATATGCTCCGTATATGTTAGTATTAATTTACTACATGGCACTATGGCAGCTAAGTTAATTATATGTTCTTTTGCTTGAGTTGAAAATTAATTCTTGCATCATTGTGAAATTTCTTCTGGCAAAGTTCCTTAAAACAAAGTTTCTCTCCCACCAGATACTTGTGATACATTTTTGTATTACACTTACTATTTTAAACATCCTTGCTTATGAGTAGATGGAGCTTTATGTCAGCTAAAGTATTTCTCATGCACCCTGACATAACAATGAAAATGATGCGGTGCTAATGTATTTGCTGCGCTATGCTTAATAATAATGATAATTTCTTTGAAGGTTGAAGCTTGGACCGGGGCTAACACAACTGTATAGTTGTTTTTTGATAATTTCTTATGACCCAAAGGTCTTGAAGTTTACCGCTTGTGTGTATGCTAGTATGGTAGTTTTTGTATTGCTAGGCCTTAAATCTCTTTTTTGCTCATCAAAAATAAAAGTTGATCCACTTTTTTTTTGTTTTTTTTTTTAAAATTATCTTCTCACCTTACATTTTTAGCAAGCCCCAATTTCTCAATTGAGATACTAGGTTTGTTTTTCAAACGGCGTTTTCACAATTATTTAGACATTGTAGCGGGCCTCATTGGCTCATTGCTAGTTATGTGAGAAATTAACATGTGATGAGATGACATAAATTTTTTCCTTTGTTACCTCCATCATCTTCATCCTTCCATCTTCCTTTCTTAATACGTTCTCATCAACATCCCCAAGACCCCACTAACAAACAAACACCATCCAATACATCACCAACACGGCAGCAAATCCCAACCCCAACACACCGATTCCAGCGACTTCATTGCCGAATTTAACGAAAAATCCTAAGAAAAATATGTAAATTAAGGGCATGAATAGCCCTATATAATGGTAATTGTATTTGTCATTATTTGTGAGCGATTTCTTCATTGTTGTAGAAAATTTCAACCTCCATTAGTGAAGGATTCTCAAACTTCATTGTTGAGGAGAGATCGTATGTTATTTATGGGTTAATGTTGTTAAGCTTCCGTTACACCAAAAAGACAAAAGTACCCTATTGAGAAACTTGTAAGTTTCTCATGTTGTATTTTCTCTCTTTTTTTTTTACCCACTACCCAATCAACTGCCGATTAACGATGATAAAATAATGCCTCACTACCCATTATTATTATTGGGTGTTGTTATTTGTCGCTCCCATTTTACCGGGTAACGCTCCCTTTTTTTCTTGAAATTCCAATTTTACCCCTAATATATAAATACAGTTTTTTCCTTCCCGACCAACATTTCTCACTTCTTTACTTCTCTCTCTAACTCTCTTACTCTCAAACTCTCTAAAACATTTTTTTTTAAAAAAAAAAATTCAAAAATTGTTCTTCATTTTTTAAAAAAACAACAATCATCATAAACACAAAAGAAAATGGGTGATTCGAGGCGGATTAGGCTGAGATTCGAAGGGAGGACCTTCGGCGGCGGTGGTGGCGACGGCGGCGGCGGCGGCGACGATGGTGGAGACGAGGTATTTTTTTTTTTTAATTTCGGATCCTAGGAACTTCCGCCCAAAATTTCCGGAAGTTCCATGGAGGATCCGCCTGGAATTTCCGGATCCTCCCTGGAACATCCGGAAATTTTGGGCGGAAGTGACATCCGCCCAGAATTTCCGGATGTTCCATGGAGGATCCGGAAATTCCAGGCGGATCCTCCATGGAACTTCCGGAAATTTTGGGCGGAAGTTCCAATTTTTTTTTATTTTTTTTTTTTGGCCCGTAAATAAAATTGTTAATTTTTTTTTTTCGGATTTTGTTTTTTTTTGTTATTTTGAAGTGTTATGGTGATTATTGTTGATATTATTATTATTGTTGTTGTTATTATTGTGCTTATTATATTTTGTAATGTAATTATTTTAAAAAATATGATAATTTTTATTATTTTGTTGATATTAGGTTTTTATTATTAATGTTAAGGTTATTGTTGTTGTTGTTAATTTGTTTTTTTTTTTTGGATTTTGTTATTTTTGTTGTTATTTTGAAGTGTTATGGTTAGTATTATTATTATTATTATTGTTATTATTATTGTTGATATTATTAATATTATTAATATTATTATTATTATAATTATTATTATTATTATTGTTATTATTATTATTATTATTATTTTTAAAAATATGATTAGTATTATTATTAAACTAATTTGATATTAGGGTTTTTATGGTTATTGTTGTTGTTTAATTTTTTGTTGTTGTTGTTGTTGTTGTTGTTATAATAATATTATTATTAGTGTTATTAGTAGTACTATTATAATATTTTTAATTATGATTAGTATTATAGTTGTTGATATTAGTGTTATTATTATTGTTATTATGGTTATTGTTGTTGTTGTTAATTTGTATTTGTTGTTGTTGTTGTTGTTGTTGTTGTTGTTGTTGTTGTTGTTGTTGTTGTTGTTGTTGTTGTTGTTGTTGTTGTTGTTGTTGTTAGTTATTGTTGTTAGTTATTGTTGTTGTTAAGGTTATATTTGTTGTTAATTTGTATTTGTTGTTGTTGTTGTTGTTGTTATTATTATTACTATTGTTGTTATTGTTATTATGGTTATTATGGTTATTGTTATTGTTATTGTTATTACTAAAATCGGATTATTTTTTAATTTTATGTAGATTGAGGGTTCTGGTGCTCGACATGCAATATCACGACGTCTGAATGCGTCTGTTAGGAGACAGACATCTCGATCTTCACCGGTTCAGCCCGAGCAGCAGCAATACGGGTCTACTAGTGGTTGGTCGAGAGACCAACAGTCTGGTAGTAGTCGACCCTTGTACTCTGCAAGTGGGCACCCATATCTGACGAGGAAGACGAATGTTCGGCTAGTCATGCTGGTGACCGGGATGAAGAACAGGACCCTCAGGATTTCCATATGGTATATAGGGGTTAGTTTGGGAGATTTGTTGGTAGTGGGTCGAGTCAGCCTACTTCCAGCTCTACAGAGGAATGGTTAGTGCAGGAACCGATGCCGGGTGGGCCTGAGGATGGGTCAATTATCCCTAATTTTGGCGGTCACGTGGCACGGTATATCTGGATGGAGCAGGAGCGTAGTGTTTTGCGCTGTTTGAGTAGGACAAAGTTATGTTCTGACTTGTTCACTTGGCGAGGTCGTCAATCTGTGGAGGACATTGCGGCGATTGATGCTAGTTGGTTGTCTCACTTGCCCGGCCTGATGTTTAAGAGACTTGATTGGCCGTTGATTTCTGCTTTTGTTGAGAGGTGGCAGCCAGATACGAACACCTTTCACATGCCATTTGGGGAGATTACGATCTTGCTGCACGACGTGTACAACATACTTGGGTTACGGGTTGCAGGCAATATGGTGTCCACTACTCCTAGCACGGACGTGTTACGGGACGCGTGCTCGGTCACCATGGATATGACTCCAGATGATCTGTCTGAGGTTTGCGGCACAAAGACCATTTGGCAGGGTAGTGGGGTGTTGACTGATAAGATTTTTGAGTCGACATTGGCGGTCGACCGGGATTTTAGTGAGCAGCTTGATGCATACTTGTGGTTAGTGCTTGGAGGTACACTGTTTGTAGACAAGAGTGGTAACCGTACGCATCCTTCCTTCCTTCACGAGCTATGTCACACGGATGTCCCTATTAACGAGTATGCTTGGGGAACAGCTGCACTGGCCTACTTGTATCGGCAACTGGGCACGGCATCACGGAAAGGTGCTGATTCGATTGCTGGTTGTCTCACGCTTCTGCAAGCGTGGATTTACGAGTACTTTCCGTGCTTTCGGCCACAGCAGGGTACCTTGACCCGGGACCTTCAAATGCCTCGTGCGTCTGCTTGGGATGTAGGAGCGGGATGTCCTAGCAAGAACCTGGAGCGCCTGTTAGCTTTTCGTACTAGGATTGATGCGCTTACTGACCGTGAGGTGAACTGGCTACCGTACGGAGCTGATCCTGCATTACGAGTGCCCCCCACTTTATTCATTGGCTGCATCCAGTACCGTAAGATCATTGAGCCGTACATGCCTGATAGAGTGGTGCGCCAGCTTGGTTTCGTGCAAGGCATTCCCCGTGAGATCATCAGGCCAGAGAAGGCCAAGAGGCCGACTAACTTGAAGATGTATCGGGTAGACTTCCCGACTGAGATGACAGCTGTGATGTGGAACAGGTTTGTCCCTGGGGTATCTCAGAGTGTTGTTTTAGGTGCCCTACCCAGGCTTAGTGCTGCAGCTCCTTCGGTTGCGCCCGGTTACATGCAGTGGTTGTACAGGTTTTCTCACCCGCGGGTATCTCCAGGTGCAGGAGTTACAAGCAACCTGCCTGAGCGGACTAACACTGATTACGTAAGTATTTATGCTTATTATTATATTAACAATGACTTATATGAATTTTTGTGTTTATAATATGTTATTGTTTGATTTGCAGTGGATGGGTCGGTCCATGGAGATTCACCAAAGAGCACTAGCTGAGTATCCTAAAATGTCGAGTGAGACTCGAACAATGACTAAGCAGCTTGTATTTGATTGGAAGTCAAAAATGGGATCCAAAGCACCTACCAATGATTCTAATTAGTAAATTCAAATACAATTACAATTACGTAACAACGAGAACAACTAATAAAATAATACAACTAACCTGTGGATGATTCTAACCAAGTTTTCACTGCTGAATGTTGGCTCTCAACTCTGCAGTTGGTGGTGTTACCAAAATGAAGAACCTGGTTCGTCCAAAATTTCATAAATTTCTCCTTACGACAAAGCCAAGTTCTCTGAACATACTGAATCACTTTCGGATATTTTCCCCACCTCACTTGCATGGCAGTTAGAGCACGATCATACTCCGCTTGTGTTGTTGCATTCACGATTTTGAACCATCTCCCAGCTCTAAAACTGACACCAACCGTCTTGTTTCCAAACATCTTCGTCACCTTAGCCTCCACATCTCTGTTGATGTGCCATAGACAGAGTAAATGTGACGTCCCTGGAAAGACTTATCTCAAAGCCGCACATAGCCGAAGATCACGGTCTGAAATAAATACAGATGACTCTTTATCAAACCCAATCAACTCCCTTAATCTCTGCAACACCCACCGATAGCTAGCCGTGCACTCGTCGCGCATGGAAACATATCCAACTAGAAAATTCTGGTTTGTCGGTGTCACGCCTACTATCTCAAAGAAAGGCATGTTATATCGATTGGTCTTGTAAGTAGAATCCATACCTATGACATGTGGGTATGTGCGGAGTATGTTGACCATGATCGGGTGCACCATAAATGCATGTTGCAAAACGTTGTGATCATCGTTCGTGAACCAGTAAATGTATTTACTCTCTCTCGCCAGATGAAGAAATTGCTGAACAACTCCTCTTCCTTCGGACATTTCCATCCTGAAGTCATTTCGGCAATTGTAAATGTGTCAGATGTTTGGATGATCATCAGGAAATTGCTCGGCAATAGTGGACATGATGTTACGGGGAGCAACCTTGGACTTTGTCATGTCCCGCACAACCTGTTTTGCACCCGGACTCAATCCGCTCACTTTACGGTGACCCTCTGGGTACACAATCATTGGGTGGTTATGTGTCCCGGTGTGATAATTTTTCGCAATGATCTTCCAACTTTCGGTGCTGACATCATAATATATCTTGATGTAGAATGGACAACCATTAGCTTTGGTTTTGGTGTCCTTCCGTATCGCGTTTTCCAAATCTCTCGGCTTGCTCCTTCGTGACCGATTACATCGCAAATACCGATATGGCCGACCATCTCTGGTTTTGTTATAAGACGTTTTCACCAATATAAATCCCAATTTTATGGAAACACCATCAGCCCATGTAACAGCATCGTCAAATGTAGGAAAAAACGTATCGGTGACAAAATTCCCACTATAATTCACACCGTCACCGCCTTCCTCAGATTCCATATCCTATACAAATTAAACAAAACATGCTTTATGTCAAAATAATAATAATAAAAACAAAAATAATAATAATAATTATAATTAAAATAATAAAAATAATAAAAACAATACTAATAATAATAATAACAATAATAATAATAATAATAATAATAATAATAATAATAATAATAACAATACTAATAACAATACTAATAATAATAACAACAAATACAAAACAATAACAATATTAATGATAATAAAAAATTATAACAACAACTACAAAAATATTTATAAGACCATAACATTAATTAATAAATAAATAATAATAATAATAATAACAATAATAATAATAATAATAGTATTATTAATATTAATATTAAAATTATATTTCTACTAATTAATAATAACAATATCAACAACAACAATAAAAATAACAGCAACAACAACAATA